TCTGCATGTAGAGGTACCCAGCCCGACTAGGACTAGCAACTGCTGCGTGTCTTGTTGCGTGAGCGTCAATTTGCCTTGGTAATCACTGGTGAGTTCTCATCGACTGGGGCCACCCCCGTTGGACGTTTGGCACGCGGTTACGTTCAATTTTTCAATAAAATAAGTAATGAATTACATATCTAAAAAGACGTTTGAATAAAATGATAATGTAGGCCAAGTTCGTGTCAAGAAGAAGCCCCACAGCGACCGTGGCGAGTGTCGGCGCAAACCTGACCTAATATACCGTAGAGGCAAAAGCAATGCAATCACTTGACGCTGTACTCCGTACAACCAATGTCAACAGGCACAGTTGGGCCAAGCCCGAAACATGATAGTATACTAATAACTAGCTAGGCGATCATTGTCAGTACTTGAATGCCAAAGTAAAAAGAGAAATAGAATAAGAAAAGGACTGTTCAAGTGTTGGGTCAACTTTTGCTCAGGGAACGGTCGGCCGACCAGACATTTTCCGCCGTCAGCCCCCGCAAGCACATTTGCGTATTTGGCTTTAGGGTAGCTAGAGTGAAGACGAAAAGTTTGGTCAAAACTGACGGATTGTTTAATAAGGCTGTAGCTGGGAAATTAATGGCCCGGGCCGTGCTGTAAAAGAAATAATAAGGAATAGTAGGTGTTGCAGTAGTGGAAAGACTAAAGCTTGTCCTCTTTCATTCTAAGGAAAAACTTTGTATTGATACTAGGGAATTGCTCTCAACATGTGCAGCCGCACACATGTGTCTGTCATTCGCCCAGCACAGCAGCTGTACGCGTCTGCACCGTATGGTCAAGTGTGCACTTCAACGAAAACACCGGAAACCGCGTCTCTACGCAATTCAGAGGCCGCCCGGCGCGGCGTCAATCAAAATCTAATGTCCATCTTCTACTGGACACGGATGGATTTAATTGAGAGCTATCACGAACACTGGTACTGAGTGGTCAAGTATGACAGCTGGCCGCTAGCCCAAAATTGGGCGTGGTCGGTTAAACCCGCGCCCCGAGGAATTTCACTTGACCAGATTGACTTTTTGCCTTGCAATGCGTACACAACGCCCTTCCACCTTGCGCCCTTCGCCTGCCCTTCGTCTGTCCAACACCAGTCTTTCAACATTTCCAATTGTACCAGGTACTCGTGCAATATCTATTCCCGTCTCCTCCGAGCCGCCACTCAATGGAGCCCCAGGAACCAACCACGGGCATTTTGTCTCGAGAGTTTCCCCAAAGACCCCCACTCCGTCAATCACACCATTTCTGACGACCTTTTCGAATCGTCCAAACCCCTCAGAAACAGGACGACATTTCCCCAACGCCCCGTTCCCAGTATGGATTCGCGCCGGCGCCCCAATTGCAAAAGTTCCATCAAACAGTTGGCCATCAAGAAATGGGCTGTTTTTTTTTTTCCGCGACCGGGCCAGCTCTGGTGTGATACAAGCCTCGGAGGAACAACAGTGACGGGCAAAAGCCAGACATGTCGGTCAAGCCACAGTGCCGTTGGGACCATTCGATAGAATGACAGATTTCCCCGCCAGTTACGGAGTACATTGAGATAGTACCGGGTCACAAGGCCTCGAGCGGGCTGGTTGGCATGGGAAAGCCCTTCCCGAAGCGCCGCCGACGCCCGTAAGCCTCCAATCTATAGATCATCAGTGGCGTCCATTTTTGATCTGACCACGTCTTTTCTTGGGTGTGGAACAGAGGGGATCGAGCCGGCTTGGCTGACCAATGTGGCTGCTGCAATCTCCAAATTCAGCAGGCCCTCCCTCACAACCACCGAGGATGTTGTTCGTGAGACGGCGCAACTTGGAGTTGGGGAACTGCAAACCCTTGCATCATTGCAATTGCGTGCTGAGCCTTACTCTCCACTTAGGAGAGCTTATTGGTGCTCCTGCGGGGTTGACACGAGCTGCCTAAGCCGAAACGTCGAGGTCGTGCTCGACATGATATACTATTGACCATCCATCGGTGAGCTCTAGCGCAGGCGCCAACTCGACAAGTGTTTGCCATCGGCAATGGGGCCGTGCCGGAGCCACAGCTCCTCCTACACGCGAGTCCAAGAAAAAGAATGCAACCAAGACAGAATCGTGGTCAATAAATAGGCAGGTCCTCGCCCAGCAGGATCAGCCAGCCAAAAAGTTCAACTCCTTCCCAACCCCCCCTTTTCCCCGTGACTGCCTCCTCCAAGGTTCTGTCCGAAAAAGCCATCATCAATGGCACCAGGCCAGCTAGACGAGCGGCTGTCCGACGCCGTGACGGCACAGCCCACCGTCGTTACAGACGACGACGCCGCCGTCGCGGGCATCGACGAGAAGGCAGGGCCCCAGATCGCCGCCGACCAGCACAGCGACTCGCTCAGTAAGGATGCGGAGAACAACGGCACCCGCGTGCTGTACAGCCTGGTCAACGCCAACGGCGACGAAGAGGCCGTCTCGGAGGACGACCCGCGGGTCCGCGACATCCCGCCGTATGTGCGCCGCATCGTCGGCTTCAAGGACGACACGACGGAGCCGACGCTCACGTTCCGCTACTTCCTGCTGACCATCCTCTTCGTCGCCCCCGGCGCCTTCCTCTCGCAGATGGCGCACTTCCGCACCACGTACGCGCCCTACTCCGTCTTCTTCGTCCAGATCGCCTCCAACTACGTGGGCGTGTGGCTGGCAAAGGTGCTGCCGGCGCGGCGCGTCCGGATCCCCTTCACGCGGCACGGCTTCAGCCTGAACCCGGGCCCCTTCAGCACCAAGGAGCATGTGCTGGTGACCATATCCGCCGCCTCGGGCGCCACGTACAACCTTGGCTACACGCCCATCTCCATGTCGGAGCTGTACTTTGGCGAGCGGGTCAACGGCGCCGTGGCCGTCTTCTTCATGCTGGCGATTACGTGGACGGGGTACTCGTACGCGGCGCTGGCGAGGCAGTTTCTCATCTACGATCCGCAGTACCCTTGGTTTCAAGCGTAAGAGTCTCCCCTCACGTCCCGAATTCCAGCTATTGGAAGAATGGAAATCACGCTGACACCAGAGATGCCAACCACAGCCTCTGCCAGACGGCACTCTTCGAGACGCAAAAGAAGCAGCGCGAGAATCCGTCGCCGCTCTCGCGCAAGCAGATGCGCGTCTTCTTCGGGGTGCTCGTGGCCGTCATCCTGTGGCAGTTCCTCCCCGAGTTCGTCTTCCCCATGCTCGGGTCGCTGGCGTTCCTGTGCTGGGTGGCGCCGCGCAGCCCCGTGGCCAACTTTGTCGGCGCGGGCTTCGGCGGCATGGGCTTCCTCAACCTGTCGCTGGACTGGTCCAGCATCGCCTCGGGCGCGAGCCTGTTCCTGACGCCGTGGTGGACGCAGGTCATCATGTTTGCCGCCTTTGCCGTCAACTGCTGGGTGTTGCTGCCGGCGGCCAAGTGGGGGAACCTGGCGAGCTGGAACCACGGCCTGATGTCGAACCGCGTCTTTTTGGGTGAGTTTCGCCGTGCCTTGCCAAAGGGGGTCATGTCTTCATCGCGGCTGGCTAAACGTCTGTAGAAAACGGCACCAAGTACCCCCTTGCGGATCTGCTCACGCCCGACATGCGCCTCAACACGACTGCGTACGCGCAGCACGGGGACCTCTACGTCGGCGCGCAGTACCTGTGGAACATGTTCTTCGACTACGCGGCCTACGCGTCGGCGCTGGTGTGGATGGCGCTCTTCGGCTTCGGGCAGATCAGGGCCAGCGTGGAAAAGTTCCTGGAGCGGCGGACGGCCAGGGACGGCCGCAAGGTGACGGAGCAGTACGACGACCAGATCAACGTGCTGCAGCGGCCGTACGACGAGATACCCTTCTGGTGGTTCGCGGCGCTGTTCGCCGTCTCGCTCGTCATCATGGTGGTCATTTGCGCGCGGGGGCTCATCTTCATCCCCGTGTGGACGTACTTTGTGGGCATCGCGACGGGCGCCGTGGTGGTGGTGCCGCTGGGCTGGCTGTACGCGCTGTCCAACTTCCAGCTCGCCATCGGGTCGACCAACGAGCTGCTGTACGGGCTCATGATCAACGCCGTGTCCGGCTGGAAGAACCCGTGCGGCGCGTCGGCCTACGGCTCCGTCGCCGGCGACGCCTGGTACCGCGCCCAGCTCAACCTGCAGGACATGAAGATTGGCCATTACATGCACATCCCGCCCAAGGCCGTCTTCTTCTCCCAGATCTTTGGCTCCCTCATCGGCATCCCCATCGACTACGCCGTCATCCGCTGGGTCCTCGACACCAAGTTCGACTACCTCGCCGGCGTCAAGGAGGACCCCACGCACCAGTGGACGGGGCAGTCGCTCGCGTCCAGCCTCACCCTGGGCGTGCAGTACGTGCTCGTCGGGCCCCGGCGCCTGTTTCAGCAGCCCCTGTTCAAGGTCGTCCCCTACGGGTTCCTCGTCGGCGCCGCCGCGCCCGTCGTCATGTTCCTGCTGCACAAGAGGTTCCCCAGGGCCAAGTTCAACCTCTTCAACACAACCATCTTCTTCTCCAGCATGTCCACCTTTTACGGCAACATCAGCACCGGCTACTTCTCCAGCTTCCTGGGCGGCTTCGTCGTCATGTTCTGGTGCTACAGGTACAAGTACGAGCTGTGGGCGCGGTGGAACTACATCCTGGCGGCGGCATTTGACGCCGGCTTCAACTTTAACATGCTGCTCATCTTCCTGTGCTTTGGGGCCGGCAAGGTTGTCAAGATGCCGCACTGGTGGGGGAACAATGCAGACAGCAGCGAGCGGTGCTTTGCACTAGATAGTTAGAGCCCGTCGTGAAGCTCACCATGGCCGTTGAAATGATGTCTCTCTTGATACACTACCAATGCCGCCGTGAAAATTAAAAAAATAAATAGAATACGATATACGATGAGAAAATTGCCCAAAACAGTCCATCGCTACATTTTGCACAAGGTACACGGAGGGAAATATAAGACAAGGAAAGGACTTGATTCTACACCGTCTCCTGGTGATGCGGCGGCTCGTCACCAGTCTCCTTGTTTCTCCGCGTGGCGCCCAAAGCACCGGCGTTGCTCGGGTCGGCGGCAGCGGCAGCCGCGGCCCGGGCA